AGTATTTAGTCTTCTATGAATATTCTAAGTAATTCAATAACTATCTAATATAATTTTTTTTATAGAAATATTTGTAACAAAGCCTTTTCTAATACTATAAACAAATAATATATTCTATTCCTGATGTATAATCCAATGCGGAAGCTTTTGAATTACTAGATAGAATTAAAACTTTTAATGAAGAAGAAGCTAAAGATATACTTTTTTTGTTTAATCTTTGAATTAATTAAAATAATTCTAATACATATTTGCAGATTGGTCTATTTATTACAGACAAAAATGAGTTCTTGCTTTCTTGAATCATTATGTTTTAAATATTTCAGAATCTTTTTTGCGTTTAGCGGATAGAAATACAAATGTCGCTGAATCAGCTCATGCAAACATTAATCGTGATGGAAAAAATTTGAATTTATTAACAGCTATTTTGAGGTAAACAGTTATTTTTGTTTAATTATGATATTATTATGTTTGGCAACTAAAATACTTGCATTTATTAGAGCTCGTCACTTTGATGAACGCCAATATATCTCTATTAATATATATACCAAATTTGGAATTGGCAATAGTGGACGCGACAAAGGTGTTATTGCCAGAACTGCACTTGCAATAAAACGCTATAAGTAATTTGGTTTGGTATTTGGAGTTATTAGCAAATACTCATAACATTTAATTTTTACAGCAACAAAAAATAATACAATTGAAATAAACCTATCTACATGCGTCAAGCCAAAAAGAAAATCCTCTACACAAAAGACAAGTCTAAAAAAAAGTCATACAACTGATGAATAGCATTAAGAGAGAGAGAGAGTTGAATTTGAAGAAGCAAGAAATTGAAATTAGAGTTCTTGAACTTGATATCCTGTTTAAAGAAAAAAAGTTGTTAGATCATAAAGAATAGGCAAAATCAGAACATAGTTTGCACGATATAACATTACTCATAAGAAAAGAAAGGGATGTCATTAAATAATTCATTGATTGGTTCATTTAGTATACATGTCAAAATTTAATACTTACGAGTATAGTCTAGTTTCCAACTTGTAAACTTCTGCGGGCTACTAAGTATAGCATACTAGCTTAAATTGGGTATACTAGTAGGAAATCAGTATATACAATACTAATTAGCTTGGTCATACCATACTCGATAGTGTAACACCGGGATTTATCACAGAGGTTGTATGTTTTCGTGATCTCACGTGACAAAATTTTAAATTGTCACTGTAAACGTAACTAATGCACTAGCCATAAGAAATGTTAAGTTTTTCATATTATAATATGTGTATAATTTCGTAAGGAATATTTTTTTGTTAGAACACAGAAAGTTATTTGTTTTTTCATGTAGTCATCAATCAATCAATCAATCTATCATAAATGAATTCATATTCTCATCAAATTTTAATAGCCTGCCATCATATACAAACTTCCGGTAATTATTATATTTCCGCGTTTTTTACGTATCAAAGCAATGGTAGTGACCGCAGTTGCCACATCCTCCAACTGATTATCACCATGTTTTACCCAGAATCAATTGAAATATGCGTATTAAGAGAGAACTGTAGTTTTCAATTTATATTATTTATTATAATTTACGATCAGTCACAGGCAATTTTCAGGTGACATTAGCAATTATCGTGTGTATGTGAGCACCCACACACTTGTCCAATTATATAAAAATACATCGGTTTCTCACGTACTTTTTAAGGTAAACGATATTGTGGACGCTGAAATTCATGTGATTTTTTATTATTAAATGTGATTATTAACCATTATATAAAAGTTCAGCCAATTAAATACATGTATAATGCTATCAAAATCAGATGGATACTCTGTTTTGGAGTTTATTAACGACAACGTTACGTTAGTGCATTTGGTTGCTCATATCTATATGATCTTGGAAGCAAAAAATGTCATGACAGAGTTCTCGATTAATCGAGATTCTTCTATTACACACGAGTTAAATGTATAATAATATAGACAAAATGACTACATGTACATGTATATATTGTAATGCGTGAGAAAATTTCATGCGTATTTATTAATTAATTTTATTTAATTGGGATCTGCATAATAAATGACGTGTATTTGTACGCATTATTACTTTATTCTTAGAATAACAATTATTTATATAGGCTATTTAGTTAAAAACATATAAAACGAAATCCTTTTTTAATAAGCTTTTTTTAATGAAAAAACTTCTTTTAAATTCTTAATAACAAAAATTATTTAACCTTTGATCTTAAACATGCTTTTTTATTAGTGTTGCTTCTTCCTATTATCTATTTCCAAAGTAACCTGGTATGCTCGCTGATTATGAACCGAATAATTTTTATATCCACTATATTAATACATGAGGTAAAGATCTTTAATATTCATTAAAACAAATGACAAATGATGATATACACACACGAAGTCTGGAGAACGACTGGCCACCGCTACTTCCAGTACTAGTTAACCTTGAACAGCATCGGTGAAAAGGTTGGCAGAGCAACGTTCGCTTCCGGAGTAATCCTTGTTGCGCTGTTTATCAGAATATGGGGAGCCTTGGTTTATTATTCGTAATTTCCCGCGACCTATGAATGACTGTGTGAAAAACTGATGTCACTTTTTTTTTTAATCATAAATCATTGGGATGCATCATATACTAATTAATCAAAATTATGTCAGGTAAACTACGTCTCGGCTTTTAATGTCGAAATAGCACCGGAATCAGTAGGTGTGAATTCTTTTTAATTTTTCCATGTGCATTTCCAAAGGTTTTTGTTTCCTTATGGTTCCCAACATATATCATAGTTTTCCGGTTCAACACGTATGCATTCCTAGCGTGTTCCAAACAAGGTTTGTGTTCTTTATGCATCCCATGAAATTCCTGATGCGTCCGTACATTCTGTTAGTATACGGTGTTACCTAGCAGGATCGATTACTGGTGATCTTCTAAACAAACCAGGCGACTGTTCGATCAGGTGGGTTTTACTAATAGTATCCGCGTTTCTTTTAGCGGCCTAGATCTCGTGATTTGAACTCTCGCCGAACCACCTATTTCTCGTGTGTCACTAGTTTCGCCGATAGAAGGCGTATTCGATTTAGTTGGTAGTATTTTAATCTCCCCGTGGATCACTCAACCAAATTCCCAATAATATTAGGATTTAAAAATGTTTATTATTCGATTTGAGTATTTTTATTTAATAAAATATATGGGTTTTATTATTCCACTCAATTCGTATTACATAGAATTAATACAAAAAATAAACTTTGTCCTAAGAGAAAACTTAAAAACTTCAAAACTTTTCTTTTTATCGCCTTTATAAATGATTCGTCTCCCCTTGCTAGATCCCGTGGAGCATCACATGGACCATGATTTTTAACATGAAATCTAACCATAATTTCATGGTGCATCAACGGTCAATAATTTCTGACGTATTCCGAACAGAAACGTTTCGAGTTTCTTACACATCCCTGACATACATCCCCATGAAGTGCCTGACATGTTCGTAATCATTGCGAACGACGCCGCATGCGTAACGTAGTATCCCGTCAAAATCAAGGACGCAATTTCCCATAGGGAGAACTTTCTTATCAACTTTATCAAGTCCCGATGAATAATGCCTGCATTATTTATACACTTTACTCCTTTAACGAGTTGTTTTGCTAAGCATCATTTGTCATTTCCGCTCAAATTATCGAATTTCGTGTTTAAATACTCTAAGGGCACCATCATTAGCATATCTTAAATTGAGCAAGTGTTTCTCGGAAATAGGATATAAAAATCATTGTTTTATTAAATAAATTATTCTAAGTAAAAATTTTGAAATATGATGAGCAAATAAATTTATAAATAAAATGATAACTAATAAGTTGCTTGTTAATCTATACATTATATATTTTATCTTTTATATAAGGCATTTTAAATCAACGGTTAAATCTCCATCTTACACAATTACTTTTTAAAAATCCAAAAACATTTATTAGAGGATGACAATTGTTTAGGTTGGAATTGTTTTCGTTATCGTCGTGAAAAATACATGCACGGGACATGCTCTTTTATTGCCCACATAAACGAAACATCCTATATGAGTATGACTTTAATTGTTAAATGCACACAAAAGTCTAAATTAATTAATTATTTATAATTTATTTGTATTTCATATTTATTTCTTTTTCTATAAATATATCTTCTCTATTCTGTATTTTTACTTCAGTTATAATATTATTTAAATAATAAATTATAGATTTATAAATTGAAACTATTCATATTGCATTTTATCTTGTTTATAATTATTAACAAAATAACCTTACAACTTGATAGCAGCAGGCATAATTATTACAAACATCACTCACTATATCTTACATATACACTTTTATATATACATATCTTAGTTTTAGTATTTAAAAACTAGAAAAATAAATTCAGAACAATTCAATCAATTTATGCAAGGCATAACTGATTTTATCAAAAAGATAGTTCTTCTAGTTTAAAGCTCTCATTCCATCTTTTAGTTAAACTATTTATATATTTAGAAGAACCAAATAAAAATATACTTGTATAAATAAGTTAAAAATATCTTTCATGTTCAAGAAATTACAGATAAGAAAATACAAGTATAATATATTGCCACTGTAAAAGCTCTACACTGGTATTTAAATAAATGTAAAATAAATAATAATATTATATTATATGAAGTATGAGAAGAATTTGTTATAATACTTAGAGAAGCTTTTTAGTTATTATGTTATTAATAATATCTTTACTAACAACTATATCTTCTTCATCAAATAAGACCTATATAAGATTATGATACAAAATTCAGAAATATATTTGGTCAAATTACAGATATAAATAAGCTAGATCAAGTTATATATTTTATAAAAGATCACAAATTCATCATCAAAATAAAGATTAATTATCAAGTACTAGAAATATTAGAAGATATTTGAAAATTAGCTATATATTTTGATATAGCTAGATATAAATAAGAAAGATCACTAGATATATAAAATAAATATAATAATAGTCATTATTTATCATATCAAAACAGAATTTATTAAAGTAATAGTTTAATATCTATAAAATTAAATCAAGTAGAAAACTATTACAAAAAAATAATATTTAACAGAAGAATATTAAATCACAAGATATATATTATAATTATGAAAAGCCTGATCATCTTGCAAAGAATTATTATTTCAAATTAAAAATCAAGATTACTAATATAAAAGATTTATAAGAAGAATTATTATATTAAAATAAAAGAATAAAATAGAAGATAATTATAAGAAATTACTAAAATTTAATAATCAAGTTAATAATAAGTCAGTATAAATATTATCAGATAATAATATCTCAAGAAACTTTATAGATAAAAGATTTATACAGAATAATAAAATAAAAATTTAAAAAATAAATTCTATAATTATTAAACTTATAAATAATAAAAAGATTATAATTATCATTATAATTAAGATTGATAAACTAAAATTAAATATATATTATATATAAAATAAATATATAGATTTTAAAATTGTAAAAATATAATTTGATTCTAGATAAATCTTGATTATTTCATATCAATCCTATTATAAACTAGAAAAATAATATAATTATTTTTATGTAAGATTATTTTGTTAATGGT